CTTCTCTGACACATCAGTGGAGACCTGAAGGTGAAGAAAGCCTGCCACTTTAAATTCTGGGGAGGGAGTGTTCCAGGCAGAGATGTTAGTTCTCCCCCTAATTAACCTATACAAATCTTCAATGAAATTCCAATAAAAGTTCCAGCAGTGCTGCTGAGAAACTAAAATTTACTCTAAAATGAATATGAAAAAATAAAGGTCTATTAAAGCTAAGTCTTATTTTTAAGGGGAAATAAAAGGAGGGATGCCTGCCCTACTGGTAGAACTGGCTCTATCACAAAGCCACAGTAATAAAAACATCATGTTGTTGGCACTGAAACAAAGAACATGACCAAGGGAACTGAATGGAGAGCTTAGAATTAAAGTACACACTTGGGAACCCAGTATGTGATAAAGGTGGCATCACCAAGCATTGGAAAAACTGTTCTTCAGGTGGTGACAGAGAAACTAATTCACCCTATGAAGAAAAAAGCCTGATCTTTACTTGAAACCATGTTAAAGGTAGACTCCAGGTAGATTAAAGACCTATATGTGAAAATTAAAACTATAAAGATTATATATGAAAATCTATGTTACCTTGGGGTAAATCAAGACTTCCTAAACAAGACTCCAAATCATAAGAGCAACAGACTAGGAGAAGGCATTTGAAATGTTTGAAACAAGGAATAATGTCTAGAATATACACATAATTCCCATAAACAAACAAAACAGGAACTCAAATAGAATAAAAAAGCAAAAGATATAAGTAGGTATTGGGGAAAAGATATTTGTTGTGTTTAAAACAAAGGATTACTATCTAGAATATACAAAGAATTCCTATAAATCAACAAGACAGGAAATCAAATAGAAAAACAGAGAAAGGATACATGTACCTGAGTTTCACATACTAGGAAATCTATACAATTTCATATACAAAAAAAGCACATAAAAAAGGCTCAAAATTCATTATAATAAGAGATGCAAATCAAACCAACCAACAGCTGCCACTTTACATCCATCAAACCGGCAAAAATTGATGCATAACACTGAAGACTGGTGAGGATGGGGATATGAGTTCTTGCGCATTGGCAAGAGGAATGTAAGCGTAGTCATCTGAAAATCAATCAGGCATTATTTGGCAAAATTGACCATGCCCATAGATATACAACACAGAGGAATATTCACAATAATTTACAAAATGGCCCGTTTTAGCTTTTTTTTATGGTAATAGAGAGTTGAAGGCAATCATCTAGGTTTCTATCAATCAAGAGACTGAATGAGTAAAATGTGGTGGACACACAGTGATTACGTGCCTGGACTCTGGAACTGGACTGCCTGAGTTGAAATTCAGGCTCCACCACTTACAAATTCTGACTTTGAACAATGAACGTAGAAAATATGAGTAAACTCTCTGTGTCTCAGTCTCATCTATAAAATGGGAGTAATAATAACTACCTCATAAGGTTGTTGTGAGAAGTATATTAAAACATTTAAAGCACCTGCCACAAAGTTAAGCACTATTTAAGTGTTAATATTAGTGTTAAAAAGAAAGCATATGCACACTGGAAGTTATGAGTTCGGTTTACATATATCAACAAGAGCATACCACTAAGGCAATGTTAACTTTAAAGAGAAAAGGAACAACATTTATAGCACAGAATCAGTTATGTGAATTGAACACATTCATGTAATTCTACGTATTTTACAAGACAGGCATCACAGACATACATTGAAGATATTAGAATGAGTGTCTATAGGATAGAGGCAAAATAAGACCAGAGTTTAGGAATAAAGGGAAAGACCACAAAATAAGAAAAGGGGCCTTGCCTGAATCATTATGCTAATATGCTGTGAGAGGAGGAACAAAATTTACCCACTTACGCTATCTGCAACGGAGGGGGGAAAGTCAAAGGTAAGGATTCCAGAGCCAGAGAAATAACGGGCAAACTAACTTGGAAACCACCCCATCTTAAACTTAAAAGTTAGGTGAGATAATACCATTCTTACTATTAAATACAGCTTTAGGTAAGTTTTCTGTTCCTTGTAGCCTGAAGCTCCTACCAGAGTATTCATACTGTCTTTCAAGTGGCAAATTGAGGTCCAAAGAGAATTATGATTTGTTCAGTGTAGCTCAACTCAAGTTTACCTAAGTGGAGGTTCCAGAAGAAAATGAAAATTATGAGTCACTTACAATTTTTAGTAAGCCAAGCTCTTTCCAGTATATTAAATGTATTAAAATGATCAACATTTATCCCACTAAGAATTGTTACTTTAAAAAATTTTATTAGACGTCAAATGATAGATGGGAAAATTATGTAAAGGCTCTTTAATAATTAATAAAGTTGAACAATCAATGAAGAAAAGGGAATTCATGTAGGAGAAAAATATCCAATTAAAAATTTTTAAATATTCACTGATGAATGTTTTCAAGAGAAAATTAAAACTAGTAACCACCTATCATCAAATGGGAAACACAAATTTTCATGGTCACACCCAGTTTTGGCAACAGCGTTGGAAACCTTACAGCTGGTAGGAGTGAAAACTGGGACATTTCTGGAAGGCATTTGGCAATGCACAGAAGAAGTCTTAAAATAGTGTATATATATATATACTCTGACTCAGCAGTTCCCTAGAACTTATCCTAAACAGTAATCATAGATGTCAACAAAGATTCAATTAAAAGCAATAGTATTACAGGACTGTTTATAAAAGCAAAACATTGGGATCAAACTAAAAATCCCAAAGTAGGAGCATCAATTAAATTATGGAAAAGCTGTTGGGTACAATACAAATAAAAATTATATCATCAGTATTTAAATGCCAGCTCTAATTAGTAGCTGTGCAGCCCAGAGAAAGCTAATCTCTCTGTACCTCATTTTCCCTGTTTATAAAATGGTTCTGTTGTGAAGCTTAAGTAAATTACCATTCCTGAAGCATTTAAGATAGCAGTGACATAATAAGAACTCAATAAACCCATTTTTTTGGTTTGTTTTTACATAAGGACACTGTAGCTACTGCCCTAGAAAGATGTTAGTGATAAACAAAAAAGGGTACAACCCAGTATATACAGAATATTTCTATAAAATCTCATATACCTAAATTTACAACTAAAGACAAGGATACATACTGAAATATAAATGGTACGTCTCTTTGAATAATAGGATTATAGGGTTTTTAATTTTTCTGTATTTAAAAATTTTTCAACAAGCTTTTATTAAAAGTAAAAACTATCATCTCTATCAAAATTAAAACTAAAAACTGTCGGGGTTTTTTGTTCTAACTGGTAATGAATCCACCCCCAAATTAGCAGAGTAATAATCAAAACTACAGACATTTCTTAAAATCTATGTTACCTTGGGGTAAATCAAGACTTCCTAAACAAGACTCCAAATCTTAAGAGCAACAGACTAGGAGAAGGCATTTGAAATGTTTGAAACAAGGAATAATGTCTAGAATATACACATAATTCCCATAAACAAACAAAACAGGAACTCAAATAGAATAAAAAAGCAAAAGATATAAGTAGGTATTGGGGAAAAGATATTTGTTGTGTTTAAAACAAAGGATTACTATCTAGAATATACAAAGAATTCCTATAAATCAACAAGACAGGAAATCAAATAGAAAAACTGAGAAAGGATACATGTACCTGAGTTTCACATACTAGGAAATCTATACAATTTCATATACAAAAAAAGCATATAAAAAAGGCTCAAAATTCATTATAATAAGAGATGCAAATCAAACCAACCAACAGCTGCCACTTTACATCCATCAAACCGGCAAAAATTGATGCATAACACTGAAGACTGGTGAGGATGGGGATATGAGTTCTTGCGCATTGGCAAGAGGAATGTAAGCGTAGTCATCTGAAAACCAATCGGGCATTATTTGGCAAAATTGACCATGCCCATAGATATACAGCACAGAGGAATATTCACAATAATTTACAAAATGGCCCGTTTTAGCTTTTTTTTATGGTAATAGAGAGTTGAAGGCAATCATCTAGGTTTCTATCAATCAAGAGACTGAATGAGTAAAATGTGGTGGACACACAGTGATTACGTGCCTGGACTCTGGAACTGGACTGCCTGAGTTGAAATTCAGGCTCCACCACTTACAAATTCTGACTTTGAACAATGAATGTAGAAAATATGAGTAAACTCTCTGTGTCTCAGTCTCATCTATAAAATGGGAGTAATAATAACTACCTCATAAGGTTGTTGTGAGAAGTATATTAAAACATTTAAAGCACCTGCCACAAAGTTAAGCACTATTTAAGTGTTAATATTAGTGTTAAAAAGAAAGCATATGCACACTGGAAGTTATGAGTTCGGTTTACATATATCAACAAGAGCATACCACTAAGGCAATGTTAACTTTAAAGAGAAAAGGAACAACATTTATAGCACAGAATCACTTATGTGAATTGAACACATTCATGTAATTCTACGTATTTTACAAGACAGGCATCACAGACATACGTTGAAGATATTAGAATGAGTGTCTATAGGATAGAGGCAAAATAAGACCAGAGTTTAGGAATAAAGGGAAAGACCACAAAATAAGAAAAGGGGCCTTGCCTGAATCATTATGCTAATATGCTGTGAGAGGAGGAACAAAATTTACCCACTTACGCTATCTGCAAAGGAGGGGGAAAGTCAAAGGTAAGGATTCCAGAGCCAGAGAAATAACGGGCAAACTAACTTGGAAACCACCCCATCTTAAACTTAAAAGTTAGGTGAGATAATACCATTCTTACTATTAAATACAGCTTTAGGTAAGTTTTCTGTTCCTTGTAGCCTGAAGCTCCTACCAGAGTATTCATACTGTCTTTCAAGTGGCAAATTGAGGTCCAAAGAGAATTATGATTTGTTCAGTGTAGCTCAACTCAAGTTTACCTAAGTGGAGGTTCCAGAAGAAAATGAAAATTATGAGTCACTTACAATTTTTAGTAAGCCAAGCTCTTTCCAGTATATTAAATGTATTAAAATGATCAACATTTATCCCACTAAGAACTGTTACTTTAAAAAATTTTATTAGACGTCAAATGATAGATGGGAAAATTATGTAAAGGCTCTTTAATAATTAATAAAGTTGAACAATCAATGAAGAAAAGGGAATTCATGTAGGAGAAAAATATCCAATTAAAAATTTTTAAATATTCACTGATGAATGTTTTCAAGAGAAAATTAAAACTAGTAACCACCTATCATCAAATGGGAAACACAAATTTTCATGGTCACACCCAGTTTTGGCAACAGCGTTGGAAACCTTACAGCTGGTAGGAGTGAAAACTGGGACATTTCTGGAAGGCATTTGGCAATGCACAGAAGAAGTCTTAAAATAGTGTATATATATATATACTCTGACTCAGCAGTTCCCTAGAACTTATCCTAAACAGTAATCATAGATGTCAACAAAGATTCAATTAAAAGCAATAGTATTACAGGACTGTTTATAAAAGCAAAACATTGGGATCAAACTAAAAATTCCAAAGTAGGGGCATCAATTAAATTATGGAAAAGCTGTTGGGTACAATACAAATAAAAATTATATCATCAGTATTTAAATGCCAGCTCTAATTAGTAGCTGTGCAGCCCAGAGAAAGCTAATCTCTCTGTACCTCATTTTCCCTGTTTATAAAATGGTTCTGTTGTGAAGCTTAAGTAAATTACCATTCCTGAAGCATTTAAGATAGCAGTGACATAATAAGAACTCAATAAACCCATTTTTTTGGTTTGTTTTTACATAAGGACACTGTAGCTACTGCCCTAGAAAGATGTTAGTGATAAACAAAAAAGGGTACAACCCAGTATATACAGAATATTTCTATAAAATCTCATATACCTAAATTTACAACTAAAGACAAGGATACATACTGAAATATAAATGGTACGTCTCTTTGAATAATAGGATTATAGGGTTTTTAATTTTTCTGTATTTAAAAATTTTTCAACAAGCTTTTATTAAAAGTAAAAACTATCATCTCTATCAAAATTAAAACTAAAAACTGTCGGGGTTTTTTGTTCTAACTGGTAATGAATCCACCCCCAAATTAGCAGAGTAATAATCAAAACTACAGACATTTCTTTTCACAGCCTTGGTTACCACACAATACAAGCTCATAGCCTCTATCTTACAAACCTTACGCACAAATGGCAAAACAATCTATAAGATTTTTCTTTCCAAAAGCTGATTCACTCCAGTTCTCCCTCTTTATGCAGAGATTAGATAGATTCTCCATGTTATCCTGAGCCTTTAATTTTGAAAGGCTCTCACAAAAGTGAACTTGCCACACGAGGAACACAGTGCAAAGAACCAGGTTCTCACTGTTCTCCTTCCTGAGGAAAGAATGCCTGGCTGGCAGTGGTGAGACAGGGTAATTGTAACATCATCTTCTTTGTAACAGGTGACAACAAGCCCCAATAGGGAAAGGACTGTCTTAGTCACATGAGCCTTTTGGGGTCTATTTTCTCTAGGTGAACCAGAGGTTTCAGCTGCTCAGCAAAGTTCCTCATGTCATCAGAGACAATGTCTTGTCCCGCTGGTGCAACAACACTTAATTCCACAAGGTAGGAGAGTGACAAGGGCTCAATGCTGTCTGTGTTCCCTGGCACCAGAATTCGGAAGATCTTGTACACCATAATCTTCATGATGCCTTTACGGAACAACTGTCCCTTGGCGACATACTCATGGTCCATGCGGAAGCCCATTTCCATCAGGAAGTCCGTGAGGTTCTCAGATGTTGCAATGTCCACACAGTTTCGCACCAGGGCATGGCGGTTCTTGTCTCCCATTTCCGGCTGTCCCAGGTAGCGCAGATGCCAGGGTGACCCTGTCCTATCTATAGAGTGCCGGGCTCTTAGAACAAACGGGCTGGCCTGCTGGCCCTTAAGGAGGAATACCATCTCATGGTCTAGGAAAGACTCAGGTTCCATGTTATCACACAAACCACGAAGGCGGTGGCTGAGGCTGTCCAAGCTTTGATCTAAAACACTTCCTGAAGAAGGAAAAAACAGTACTGAATCTCATCTTTCATTTTGGGTAATGGAATTAGCAAAACATTGAAAAAACTTAAAAACCACAAGTTTAGTACAGTGTTTTGTAAAGCACAGGTCCATGTATGAGATTCTAGAGGGGTTATGCTGCTAAGGTATTCTATTACAGTATGAGAAAGTTAATGAGAAATTTTTGCACATCTTATTTGGTACCCAAAAGTCTGTAGGCCTTGTTCTAACAACGCTGACCTCCAGCAGGCTTTGGGCTCAGAGCCTTCAACCGACAACAGTATCTATCTAGGATACTAACAGTTTTATTGTCATTTATATTAAAAACTATCTTCTATTTCCATCGAATAAGTTTTTCATTTACAGGAGAAACATAACATTTCCTTTTTATGTAACATACTTAAATAAAAGATAATGAACTGCTTCATAGAAATACATGAATCTTTGTTCTCATCTTCTTCTTCCTGGTAGCATCTGATACGGGTGTTACAGATTATGGCCAATTTGAAATCCAGTCTTCCCTCGGCCTCTGGGACACAATTATCTCTTGGTTCTTCACCTAACTGATCATTCCTTTTAAGTCTTCTTTGCTCATCTTCCCTAAATACTGGAGGATCTTAGGATCCTGGTCCTCTTCTCTATATTCAATTCTTTCTCCCTAGATGACCTAATTCAGGCCTTATGACTTTAAATACCATTTATGCCCTGAGGACTCCCATATTTATATATCATGAACTACAGACTCATACATCCAACTGTTTACTCAATTGTTCCACTTGGATGCTTACCAGACAACTTCATCTCTTTTTAAACTGAAGCATCACTGATATAAAATCTCATATTGGTTTCAAATATACAACACAGTGGTTCAACAGTTAACCTATATTATTAAATTTAAATTCTCACCCCTACTAGTGCGGTTACTATATGTATCAATATAGAAAGATGTTACAGAATCATTGACTATATTCTCCAGGCTGTACTATCTTCATGGCCAATTTATATTATGACTGAAAATTTTGGACAACTTCATCTTAATATGCTCCATATCAAACTTGATTTTTCCTCCACAATCTTGTTCCTCCTACAGACTTCCCCACTGCAGTAAGTGGCAATCTCTGCTTCTAGGTACCCAGGCTCCAAATCACAAAATCACACTGACTCATTTCTTTCTCCTATTTCCTACATCCCATCCATATTTTTAAAGTATATGCATCTCTTTTTTGTATCCTGCTTCCCTAAGAGCTTCCATGCTTGGGGAACCAGACTGTTTCCATGTGCCACGGAGCCAGGCCCCAACCTCCACAAGGGTAGAGGCTCCTTTATTTGAGACCTTGCCCTATGTATCTCTTTAACTGGCTGTTAACTTGTATCCTTTATACTATCCTTTATCAAACTGATAAATGTAAAAACAAAAAACAAACTATATGCAGAATCCAATCACTTCTCATTCCCTCGATCACGTCCACCTCTCCAAGTCTCCCTCATTTCTTGCTGGGTCTTGGCAATATCCTTCTTCTACCCTTGCTTTCTTCCTCTTTTTCCAAACAACTGCCAACTGGTGTTTTAGACTATGAGGCAAATGATGGCATTTCTCTGCTCAGAAATCTCCAATGGCTTCCCTTGTCATTCAGAATAAATCTCAAAGTCTTTCCGTCATCTACAAGGCCATATGGTGACCTCTGCCACCTATTTAGTGTGCTCCAGCACTGTCCTGACACTATCCCCCTAGCTCACTCTCTGCAGCCACCATGATCTTCCTGCTCTTTCCCGAAAATGCCAACTATTTCACAAAATATTTCTCTTCAGAGCCCCTTCCCTTGGTCCCTATGCTCAGAACATTCTTTTCACAGATATCTGCATGTCACTCTCTTCAGGTCTTTCTTCAAATGTCACTTTATTGGGGAGGTCTTTTCTGATCACCCTTAATAAAATGGTATCTCTCTCTCTAATCTCTTCCCACCTTCCTGCTTCAGTCTTTAGCATTATCACTTTGATTTTGTAGC